GCCCTGACTAAACTAACTGATTCCTTATTTCTATAAGAGCACAATCGTAGAAAGCGACATTTTTGCAGAAAAAAGGAAATGTACGTGATCAGAGTATACATGATGGATAATAAAGGGCAGACATCCCCTTGAGGTAAGAAAACGTTGTTTTTGAATCGGTTTTCTTGCCTCTGGACTTCCTATCTATTAATATTTGATGATAATAGACGTGAACTTGAATTCAGTCGATGGCCAATATCGTTGTTTACTTTTACTAGCTTGCATGAGAAAGTAGGTTGATAAATGATTTGATTGATGCTCATCACTGCAATTAAAATGTATTATGGTTTAGATGGTTGTGTGGAAATGAAAGAATTTAAAGCAAATTAGCGTATGATGACGGATTTAATCTTACATGTCAATCACTGACACTCATTTAGAGCAGTAGTCGGAAGTAGCACTCTGCAAGTCAGTTAAACTACTGTAGTCTCTTCTTTTTTTCGTAGTTTGCAGTGTAGTGTACTATTTTTTAATAAAATAGTAGCGTGGTAAGTAATGTGACCTAAAAACAAAAACAAAAGAATTGGTAGTTAAGTTAAGAGGTTAGTTACTGTTAAACGTTAACTAAACCTTAGGACAGGAACAAACTTAAGGGAACAAGGTTCAAACGCGTCTAATTTTTCTTACGTGGGATTACCAATGGATGCTATTTGAAATGCCTCGGTGGCAGAACGTAAATAAGAATTACGTCAAATGCTTTAGAACAGTATTTTTTTACAAAGTTTGGGAGAAGTTATTTGTATCATTGTTTTCTGGAAATTTTGAAATCGAAATCGCAAGCTTCATTAGATTTTTCCCCTTCAATCATTCCCGTTTTAATAAATATGGAAAAGAGCAGGTACTTCAAAAAAATTCACTACTCTGGTCAGAATGTAATACTTATTTTAGTGTGATCAAGAAAATAAGAAAGGGCATTTTTTATCGTTTCAAAGTCGTCTGCACTGTAAAAAACGCCGGTACTCTTTACTGTAAAATCCATTTTTACTGTGATCAAAAATCTACTATACGGCAGTTTTTACAGCAATAATGACAGTAAAATCACTGAATCACTATAATTAATCGCTTCCCTGATTATACCGAGTTAACTCGGGTATGTATATATTGTAAATATTTGCTATCCCGAGTAAACTCGGGCATAGCAGAATTCGTCAATACGTTTTGTTTTATCACGTTTTTACTCGGCCGGAAGCAAAACAAAAAATGACAATAATCAGCAGTGATTGGAAGTTAGCCAATTTTTGTTAGGGAGTTTAGCTAATTGTGGGACTGTAGCTGTGTTTTGTTCAATTGTATATACGATTGTTGATGAATTTACATAAAAAAAGTAAAAAAATAGCTTTTGCGAGCGACAGTGAAAACATTGCAGATGATTTTTCATATTATGAAGATGTGAACATATACAAAGAGTTATATTTAACTTTTTTCATTTGCCCGAGATAATTTGGGATAGTAAACTGATGGTAAATTAAATATTTTTTACACATGAAAAAATTAAAATTTCAACTTAGAGCTTGTGTATTACGTTTTGTTTCAGCTCCTTTTATTTATTAATAAAATAAAAGAATATATTGATTTTTTGCATTTTTTATTCAAAAAAATAAATAAATAAATACCATTACATAAATACTACATTTAAAATTACGGTACAATATTTTACCGGTGATGCACCCAAAGTGTCGGTACCTTATACCTTAAATTTACCCGGAATTTTTTACAGTGTGTTTCTAATGTGAGTAGCACATTTTGAATTGCCAAACCTTCAATTGCGAATTTACACTGGTAAATCACTGAAAGAGCACGTGTACATTATTACATTGGAAGGGAATATATTTTACTCAGTAACTTTTGAGGTACTTTATTTCTTAGATGAAATAAACAAAGTATTAAACATATAACAAAATCTCATATATTTTTATAATTTTCTAACATTTCTTAAATAAAATATTCGCTGACGAAAAAAGCATAAGAAGTTGAAAAAATACTTAATTTTTTTTTAGAGTAACAAGCTGGCTCATGTAAACATGAATAAATATAGCTTAATAATTCCTTATGCTTAAATAAGTCAATTAACATTGAAAACAATTTTAAACATGGGTATGAATTAAGTTCTACTACAAAAGTTCGTCTCCTAAAAATTATATTGACTAAATTTCGAAAGCAGTTAGAACCACAACATTTAACGAACAGTAGTTAAAAAACTTGGATTTAAAAAATCTACAAAATGTTTATAAGTTCGCAGAATTAACATGTATGCAGATATATAGATGATACAAATTTACTGACAAAATTTGAAATTCAATGTGTTTTAAGCCTTGAATGTTGGTCATCAAATTTAAATTTGTCTGTTAGTAGATTATACGCGCGTTAATAGAAAATATGTATTTACTTCTCCAAAAGTCAGCAACTTTGTGCAAAGAAGAAGAAATTAAATCGGTTAAACTATGACGTAACGTATACTTCAGTTCAATTTTTTGACAATCTTTCTTCCACAAATAACCCTAATTAAGTCAAATTAAACCAGTCATTATTAAAATTTGAAAGAAAATTTTTTGCTGTCTGGGTCTTAGTAAAAACTTCTTTTAGTAATTATGAGCACAGGACATCAATTACAAGAAAATTGGTAAAAAAAAGACTGCTTTGCTGTCTATATAGATTTTTTTTCTTTATAATTTGGATTAAAAGTTTAAAATTATTAACTCAAAATCGCCGATTTCGAATAAGTGTTTTAATTTTTCTTCATTGGAAGGTACAATAACACTGGAAATGTAGTTTCTGTCTGCATTTTTCTCAACAATGAAGTGATTTTTTTAAAAAAAAACATTTGTTATTATATTTAGCTTTTACTTTAACGATATTTAAATTTTACTATGCGTTTCATACAGGAATAATTAAAAATTATTTCTGTTGAAGGTTTCTCTTATTGTTAAAGTATGCAAAAAAAAAAATACGTTTTCACATATTCTGGAAAAAAATATATATTGAGATTAACATTTTTCACTGTTCACAAACTATTTTAAAATATTTTTATGTCCCCAAAAGGTCTTGAAATATTTAATATTCAGATGAAACAGATAAAATATTGTAGGAAAACGATTCTATAACGACGTTTCTGGAATAGGATTCTATTATTCAATTTTATACCATTTTTTTTTCAGAAGAAAAGTTTCGAGACAGTTATTAAATAGCAATATTTTGTGTGAAATTTTAAAACCAGTATTGTCTCCAAAGTGTTTTTTTTAAAATTTGTCCCATGTCATAATAATCATAATAAAACAATTTAATTATTGTTTTAGAATTTTTATTAGAGTTGGCAATTAATTTCTCAAGAGGTTTCATAGTCCTAAATACCAAAATCTGGAAACGCCTTCCGATTTCGCCACGTCGTTTCATTTTGCACAAATATTGTGTCATCACAAAAAACTGGGAATAGTGTGAAATAGCAAATAATAAATAAACGACAATTAAACAACAAACGCTCTCTTTTTTTCTGAAGAGGCATTCCCAGTTTGCTTGAAGAGCTCCTGCGAGTCTACTTCCTCGTGTGAGAGGAAGGTTAGTCGGTCACGTGAGAAGAACAGGCTGAAAGAGCCTGAAGTTGATAGTGTCCCTGAAAAAAGAAAACTCGGACAAGTGAGATTTGCAAACTTTTTCATCGAGAAAAAGTGTAGATTGATGAGATAACTAACAGCAGGGGTACAGAATTTTTAATTTTTTTTTAATCTTTTTATTTTGCAATGGTGGTGTTGTAAAGTTAATAACCAGTTACAGAACAGGCACTTTCTTTTATTACGTGCTCTAAAATTGAATAAAAGACGTTTATTTAGTTAATGATATGATAAAGAAATTCGAGAGCTAGATAGCAATATGATAAAGCACACTTTAAGGTATTGAAATTAGAAATGTATCTGTAATATTTCTTATTGATATTGAGAATTAAATTCTATGATGTTAATTGTATAAACATACGGAAAAACATTCTGCTAAAATTTAGTAAACTAAAATTGACGTATTAAATATACTGAATAAAAATATTACTCGATTTAAATAACTACCATAAACACTTAAGATCACAAAGAGTTTACATGCAGTTATATAGTTTGAAGTATTTCATAAAAAATTTTGAAAATCATGTAATATATTTATTTGATAAAAAATGAAATATAATGGCCAATAATTGCTGTAATAAGTCATTCGTTGATTCGTCATGTATGTGTAACTATCTCATCACTTACACAATTTATCTCAGAAACAAATTATAATAATTTTTTTTATTATTATTATAAAGTAAAATTTAAATTTAAATGCAATGTCATCTTTTTAATTTCTGGGACAGGAATACAATGAAAAAATCTAGCATTACCACCTGTTCGTTTAAATTTAATCCTATGGTATATCGAAGATGGCGAGACAACAAATTTTTATAAGAAGTGAAAATAATTTATATAATGTTCATTTTTTTAGCTGACTCTTAAATTTGATCAATTATTATTTAACAATAAGTTTACCCCGGGTTTTCTGTATACCCCTGGGGGTTGGGCGGTATCTCATGTCTTGGCAATAAGTTCAGGAACTTAAAATTTGTGGATAAAAGTTGGATCGATATCTGTTAAAATATCTATAGTTGAATTATTATTGTATTTCCCACTGACTGATGAACTTTCAGTCTCGTCGTTTTTTACGTACATTTTGCTGCCGATGAGTGCCAAAACATTGTACGTACTTAGAAATCGAACTCTTTACTTCCAGTTTTCAACTCGAATTGTGAACTGGGCATTAGTATGCATCATAATAGCATCACACAAACGCAATGCTTCTTTGAACTTACCACAAATGCATTATCATGTTGAAGTTTATAATGACAGTTTAATTCGCCTTAGCTATTTTAATATAGAAATTATCGACAAGGTAATTTTCATAAAGGAAAGATTTTAAATTTTATTTAGGATAAAATTTGAACTTACCACTGCTGCCTCCTGGTGTTCTTGTAGTATCGTAAGGATTCTTCGTTTTTCCATGCAACTTATTGTATGTCTCCCACCATAGACACATTTCACTTGTGTTAGTGACTACCAAGGGGATAGCACCGGCCTCACGGAATAGTTGCACAACATCACAATCTGCTTCAGCTTTGGCCCCTTTGCGAAATACGGCTCCACCGGTCGCAAAAAGGCCTGCAGTAGATAATTTGTTAAAGCAACTTAATAAGCAACAATGTGTAACATTTTAGATTATTTGTAGTAATTATCTTTTAATTATTGCTCTCATATCAGAAACTAAAAATATGTTTTGATATGATCCGAATTAGAATATTCCAAAACGTTGGTTCATAAGCATTGTTTAAATATTCAAATATGTTGTAAATATATGAAAATGTTTCGCTGCAAATGTTTTTAATTAGCTCTTTATTCTTGTTTACAGTGTAGATTGGCTTAATTTGAACAAAAACTCTCTATTTGCTACTTTTAAAGAGTTTTAAAAAAATTTGAAAGGTAGATTTATCAATACATTTTATTAATTCATTTGTGTGTCGTACTAGTTACAGTACTAATTTCAAATTTAAGACGTTTTATTGCATTTTGCGTTTATCAGGCATCTTTAAACAAGTAACATCAGCATCACTTTTTAGAAATGGATCCTAAAAAATGCATTATAAATTCCCAAGAATTATTCCTTCAGCATAAAATTTATTCAAATAATCATGGTTCATTTTTTTTTAAATTTTTTAAATTGCAATTTGAATTCAGCATCTGATTGATTATAAAGCTTTTTTTTTAGTCAAAATTTTTCTTTGTATTGATCAGAAGTAAAAGATTAGCATGCTTTACGTGAAAATAAAAAAAATAAAAAACTGGAGTAATCTTTTTTTTTTTTTTTTTTTTTTTTTTTTTTTTTTTTTTTTTTTTTTAATTGTAATGCTTCAAAAAATTTTGCATCCTTGGGTCGAGTTTAATCAAAACTATGCATTTTTTTAAATTTTCTATTTTACTACAAGTTGATATTTTTAGATTATTTGTAGTATTATTTGTATTTAACCATTGTATTTTATTTTTATCTTTATTTCCTAACTTAAACGCAATCTTTCTACAATCTTCCTTTTTTTTTTCCATACCTTTGGCTGCATTATTTGTTTTTGAAATTATATTCATTTACAGTGTCGCACTCTGTTTCATGCATTCATACAACAATGTCAAATGAGCAAATGTTTTTGCTGTATTTAGAAAAGTTGAAGAATTGAAAACACAATGTAAAATTTCAAACAGTTCTTGAAATCTAATTATATATAAGGGTTAAAAGAACAGAAAAGAATCCTTAAAATTATCTGAATTGAAGTAGTTGTACATAAATAATTTAACAACGAAAAAAAATTAAACAATTTTTAAATCTTTGCAAGTGCGAGTAACTACTTTTGAGTTAAAAAGACTATAGTATACATGGGCCAAACGTTTGATACGAGCTGTAATTAGATAGAAATTTTGAAAAATACTTTGAAAATTAATTTATGTTGGAAAAAAATAAAATACTTTTGATGCGTTTTTTCAACTGTTCTTACGAAGGCGGGTTAGGGTATAGCTTATATTCTATATATTCAACTGTCCTTAAAATAACGATTTTAAAAGATTTGCTTAGAAATTTAATGACATGCATGTTTTGATGTAATTACAACAACATGTTGATTTTTTTATGTACAAAAATTACTTATTACAGATTGCTAATACTTTGAAGAAAATCAACTTTACAGTCAGAATTAATCATTTATTTAACCAAAAATTATAAGTGCAATCAAATGAAGTTAACAAGGGAGTTACCAAAGTTAGAATTTAAAGTTAATTGAATGAAATAAAGGTTCTTTAGGGTGCGTTTCCCAATTTTTTTCGACAACGGAACCCCGAATTATCTTTTATGAGGTTTTATTTCCGACAGTTGAATCCTCACTCCTGGAGCTGAATCTAGTTTAGTTAGGAATTTTGTTTTTGGTCTATAAACATAAGCCGGAAATGAATGAAATAAGCCGAATTGTGGTTATCGTTAAAATGGAAACTCAGAAGAACTGCTATAAACGATGAAAATAGCTATTACAGAAACATATTTTTTTATTAAAAAACTTAGGTACAAAAAAAAGTGAAATATTAAGGATTATTTATTGCATATAAATATATTTACGCGATTCAAAAACGCTAAATAAAACTGTTTCGAAAAATTTTCTCTCTTGAAACCTTTTCAACTTTACCATGGAATCCTAAGGATCCGTGGGAGCTACTGCTATATGGCACCTTCAGGCATAAAGGGTATTCTGCTTGTTTCGTGTTAATTTACGGAATACGCCGATCTGGTGGCCGAGTGGCTAGCGTGCCTGACAGTGGAGCCGCTGGTCGCGGGTTCGAATCCTGCTCAGGGCATGGATGTTTCTTTCTCTCTCTTTGTGTTCTATGTCCTTTCTCCTTTGTGTGTGAATGTGACCCGCCCTATAAACGGGTTGTGGTTGTGTGATTTGGGCGACGCTGATGCACCGCCGTAGCTTTGCCACAGGTGCCCACTGGGTAACGAGAAGAGAGTAGCAGTTCTGGCATTCCTGTGGTCAATGGTACAACCCCCAAAAGCCCGCCATTNAATAAATTTTCTCAATTAATTTTTGTGTCGTACGGGTTACTGTACTAATTTCGAACCTAAAAACGTTTTATTGCATTTTACGTTTATAAGGCATTTTTAAACAAGTAATATCAGCTTCACGTTTTAGAAACGGATCATAAAAAATGAACTATAAATTCCTAAGAATTATTCTTTCAGCATGAAATTTATTTAAATAATCATGATTATTTTTTTTTTAAATTTTGTAAATTGTTGTTTGAATTCAGCATCTGATTGGTTATAAAGTCAAATTTCAATTCTTTTTTATCATAAGTTGATATTTTTATTTAACTATTCCATTTTGTTTATTATCTTTATTTCCTAACTTAAACACAATCTTTCTACAATTTTTTTTTCTATCCTTCCTTTTTTTCATAACTTTGGCTGCGTTATTTGCTTTTGAAATTATATTCATTTACTAAGCGCTGTCGTACTCGTTTCATGCATTTATACCACAGGTCAAATGAGCAATCATTCTATAATATTTTGTATTTAATGTTAGATATCATGAAATCATCTAGAAAATTTTTAAGAAAATCCTGTTTGAAAATGGTTTTGCCTTATTTAGAAAAGTTGAAGAGTTAAAAACACAAAGCAAAATTTCAAACAGTTTTTGAAATATAATTATACATATCAGGATTAAAAGAACAGAAAAGAATACTTAAAATTGTCGTTACTCAAGTAGTTGTTGTATATAAATAATTTAACAACAAAAAAATTTTTTTTTCAATCTGCGCAGTGCAAATAACTACTTTTGAGTTAAAAAGACTATAGTATGCATGAGCCAAACACTTGGTACGAATTGTAATTCGATAGAAATTTTGAAAGAAGTTTTGAAAATTAATTTATGTTGGAAAAAAAATAAATAAACGCTTTCATGATGCGTTTTATGAACTGTCGTTAAAAGAAAGATTTTAAAAGAGTTGCTAAGAAATGTAACAACATGCATGGTTTGATGTAACAATCATCATGTTAATTTTTTGTATAAAAATTACTTATAACAGAATGCTAATATTTTGAGGAACATAGATTTTAAAATCAGAATTAATCATTTAACAATCCAAAAATTGTAAATGCAATCAAATGAAGTTAACAAGGGAGATATTGTGCTTTCCTTCACTTTTAATGAAAAGTTATAATTATATACTTTTGTGCGTATCACATAGAAAAATTTTGTATTATTTATTTAAATAACTGCAAAAAAAAATGAATTTGAGTCCACTATGAATGAGCTGCCGATTTCTTTGCTATTCACTATAAGCGGGGCAACTAAAAATATTCCCTATAAACCAGTGTTCACTATACCCTAGGTTCATTACATTATTATACTACTTATATTAAAGGAATATTTTTGCAAGATATAAAAGATACCCTTAACAGATACAGCCTCCTTTGCAGAGAAAGGGACTCCGAGAAATGGAGTATCTCTTTCCATCTCTTCGACTGTCTTCAATCCAGAACTAACGAGCTCATCCACTTTTTTGGCATCTTCAAATGCTTCTTCAAATCTTTCGTCTACGTAAGCATTGATTAATGGCTGAACTGCTTGGATTCGACTTATGTAAGACTTAATAACATCTGAGCTTTTCACCTAATAATGGGAACAAATGGAGCATAAAAATCTTGTCATGACTTTAAAATTATAAACACTTAATATAATGTTTGGAGGAATTTCAGTTGCTAACAAGATTTGATGATCAGGTATAGGAAATGAAAATTAAAAAAAGTTTCCAAACTATTAGAATTATAAATAAAATATCAGTAATTTAAAAAAAATCTGTAAAATTTAGTATGAATATATATTGGAGAATTAAAATAGCGTTACATTTAGTAGGAATATGAATTGGAAATTAAAAATAGCTTTAAATTTAGTAGGAAAAATGCTGGAGGACACAGTATGAGGTAACTGAAATATTGTAAGACACAGTATCAGGCAATTGAAATATGAAATGAATATTGGAATTAAGAAAAAGCTTCAAAAACTTGTAAGAATATAGATTAAAAGAATAGGAAATTTAAAAAAAAACGGAAATATAAATTAGAGATTGAAAATAGCTGTAAAACTAGTAGGAAAATTTCTGGAAAACACATTATGACGCAACTAGCGGAAATTACAATAAAATAACAATTCGATTTGAAATTTTCATCGATTATTAATCGCATGAGTATTGAAATTTCTATCCTGTTTGACTAAAAAAAAATTTTGCGAATAAACATTTTAGCCTAGATAATAAATTTTAAATTTTGATTCCACCCACTAATTACTTTTTTTATTATTACATTTCATATTTAATTAAAAAATTTAAATAATGATAATGTGATCGCCAATTTTAAATTATCTCATATTTGATTAACTATATTATTTTATAACTTTAATTAATTTTCTTACATTATTGAATTGAATTTGAATATGAAATTTTAAAATATACAAAATACTATCTCGAAAATAATTGACGAAGCAACCAACAACAATCTTTTATATGAAAGCAGTATTCCAAAAGAAAGACACTTTTATAAAAGTCTTCTGTGAAATTTACAAATTACTTAGTATAAGATATATAAAGTCGGAGAAAAAAGTTTTTTAAATTTATGAATAGTAATTAAAAGTCGTTGCTTACTTTGTGTATAAGCAACTACTTTTAATCTAGAAAGTGAGATATGATAAATTTCTTTATATTTAAAAATTTCCATTTATGCATTTTTCACTAGAAATTTTTTATTGCATTCATTATTGAATTATGCTACTTAACTTTTCTATGTACTGAAGCTGGAATAAAGTGAAGTCATTTTGTTTCTATTTTAATCATGGACCTCGAACTGGAAACTGTAAAAAAATATTTTATTTTCCTTTCTGCCCTTTTTATATTTCGATTGTAAATGTGAGCAAATGCATGTCTGCTTTGTACTTGGGCTGCACAATCGGTAGCGTGTTGAGATCCACAATGTGAAAATTAACAAACTGCAATGTTAAAAATTCTTCATAAAATTAGGGTAAAAAGTAATGAAGTAATGAAAAGTAATGAGTCCTGAATTTTCCATCCGTAAAATTAATTTCTACAGTAACATTTTGTACCATAATTTCTACAGTAGTATTTATTTAAATACAGTGATTGTACCGCAAATATTATTGCATATAAAAATTATAGTACCTCATATTTTTCTTGTCCGTAAAATTTTATTGAAAGAATGGATCTTACGATAAAAAGTGCACCCACTCTGGGCGTTAGTATTTTTTACCTCAATTGAATCTGGAAATCTTAACAGATTTTTACGGAAACTGTTGATAAAAGTAAGTTAAATGAAATAATTTTAAAAGACGGGGTATGAAAATTTATTTAAAGGAAAAATATGATAAAATTGTTTTGCAAACTTAATTACAATTTAGATTGTGTTTGGAATATTATTACTAACACAATTACTACTACAATTACTACTGTACAATTACAATTACTACTGTAAATTAACTGAAAAACAAAATATTTATTTAGATCAAGAAGCCCTCTTGCTTCCTCATTATTACGATTTTAAATTTAAGTTTGTTTTATGCATTAATTTAATATTTTTAATTGTAAAATTTTACCACAGAGATAAAATTATATTTAACCTCCATGGAATAAAATAATTTTGCTTATTAGTTTTCGCAATAAAAATATAGAGCAATATAAATTTACAGTATTTTTTGAAGCGGTGTATGGATATTTTTTTTTAAATGTTTCGTGGAATTCATGGTACAGAATCTTCTTTAAAACATTAAAATATATATAAAAAAAACTATTTGGAAAACTAATTCTACCGAAAGATCTTCAGTTCAGTTAAAGATGTTACCCTTTATTGTTATATAAAATACCATTTCTTTTTTACTCCATTGAGAAAAGAATTTTCAAAGCAATATTAAAACGCTTTAAAACTAGACAGAATGACGAATTCCGCAATGGAAGAATGACTTAAAAATACTAGACCACAATTTTTTCTCCATTCCCTTCAACGCTTAAAGAATTTACAGTGCCCGTCATTACCCAATTTGTGACCCTGGACAACTATAGAGAATAAGGAACTCTCATCAATGCTTAGATGAGAGCATTATAAAGCTGCTTAATACAAAAATGTATAGTATTTCTCATCTTTTGCGATTGGAAAGACAACCGGATAAGCTAATCAAACCACATTCCACTGTTCAGTTGATAAAACACAAGTGAACCACAACCTTGCTTCGATGCCTTTTATTTAACAAAACGTCTAGCTCCAATGTCTTGTTCAATTTATTTTTTTTTACTGTTTTGAAACAGCGCTAGTTTTAAATGGTAAAAAAATCCGTATATCTTTGTATTCATGTCTTTTTAAACCATACTAATTGTAAACGGTTTCAAAATATAAAGATAAAAAATTCTCCGTACCGTGAACTGGATGGGCAGATTGATGCCGGTTATTTTATCGTAATTTTAGAATGAAAATTCGAACAGTGTACTGTAAATAACGTTTCAAGTCTTCATGAGAAAGGCCATGCACCCTATAATCCAAAAACCACCACTTTGTAAATGTCTCAACCTAAATGAAGGTAAACTCCTGTTGGAAAGTCCTACTTGGCTCAACAATTCTTTCAAACGCCTGTAAATAAGCTTCTAACACATTTTAGTGATTGGTAGCCTTCATGCGGCTTCGGGGGATTTCCTCCCCCCTCCAATTTTACTTATTCGATGTTTTTTTTCCTTTCCAGTAGGTGAAGCAGTAAGTGAATTACTCCTGGTAAATATGTGTTGAGATGATAACTTTCTTAATACATATAAATGCTTGGTCCTCGTTGGTTTTCTTTGCGTCCAGTCATGGAACAAAGTTATTTGCGTGAGACACAGAATACTAATACACATTTGTTATTCCTAGTTTTAATTAAAGTGTATTAAAATTTGTTTCTATTTCAATTTATCGTAACATAAATTTTTTCTACTGAATACATTAAAATTATGCAAAGAAAAATAACAATAAAGAATTTTAAGTTATTAGAAAAGTATTTTTACTTACTAGGCACCAGTTTTTTAAAATGTTAATTATGAATCTATTTCATTCAAAGGATAAATATGCTTTATACACATGCAACTTAATAGTGTAAGTAATATAAAATAATGTAAGCGTAATGTGAATTAATTAGAGTGTCTAACATACAGGTGTAACATGGTGTTCATGTGATGTTTAGTGCAGCCAGTCAATGTTTTATTGCAAATTAAAATTAATACAATTATTTACATGAAATTCTTATAAATATTTATGTAATTCTCTTTCTAAACATGAAATTATTTTGAACATGAAAATAAACTGCTCAATGTTTAATCATTGATAAGCACGTTATTTCCTTTTTAAACCAAAGGTAGTAGAAAATAATTTGTGAAATTAGCATACCATAAGTTCGCCAAAAATTTAAAATGTTTACATTTTCTTGACCACGTTCTATTTAGCCCTAAAATTATTGACTAATTTTTCAAATTACTTACATCATTTATTGCTTTTAAATCTATATAATTTGTTCAATGTCATAAGGTAGGTAGGTATATAACATAAATGCTGCAGTTTCCGTTCAGTCAAATAAAAGCTTTTTTTTATGGTCTCAGACACAAAAATTCAGAGACACACATTCAAGAAGTTTCACGCTTGGTCAAGTTTTTAAAAGTAACACAAAGTTTTTCACCTTAATAAGAGGTGATTTTGACTGTTTTTTACTAAAGAAATGTTTGGAGAGTTAGCATTTTGCTTAAATAAGTTAAAAAGAAAAATTGTTCTTGCCCTCAGGTGTTCTTCTCATTTACTTCCTCTTGGCCCCAATTTTGCAAGCAATGTTACGAGCTCGAACTTCGCCCTGCTTTATGTAATTTGTTTAGTAAAATCAAATTTTTTTTTCTAATTTAATCTTTCCCTTGGAAAATGAAGGTGGATAAATAGCCTCAGAGCATACACGTGAGAAATTCACTTTCTTTAAAGATAATTTACATAAAAATAGTTTTGTTTTGGCTTAAGGCGGGAGATGTATACACTTGAAAATATTTGTATTTATGAGGAAAAAATGATAGGCGTGTAGTAGGGGCATTAGGTATTGTTAATAACTTTTCTTATAAATCTTTTCTTTTGGTTTTCATCTTTGTTCAATCTTTACTTTAATATAAAAAAATAAAAAATTTTATTAAATTCTAAACTTAAGATTTTTTCGATTAAAAAAATTAATCTTATTTTTAGTATCTGCAAATCGACAAAAGGAAATTCTGAATATTTCAACGATAAAAATAATAAATAAATAAGTATTACGATTTTGAAATATGCTTAACTCTATCGACCTGTTTAATAGCTTTTACTGCTTATCATTTGAATGAAAAAATATATGAAACTATAAGCTAGTGGAAAAAATGTGAAAAAATCTTAAAATATAAATTTGGAACTATTTGTACTTAAATACTCATTTAAACGCGTATAAAAAAGAAAGTTAATAAAAATTCATGTGTTTTCTTCCGAGGCAACTTTTTTACAATTTCCAAACTATGCATATTTAAATAAAATTTCAATGCAATCAAATTTGACCGAATTCATTCCGTTACAATTTTTCACACAGTG